TTTAGAGAGGGAAGAAATGTATGTATTTTCCTTGCTATTCATATCTTCTCTCTGGCTTCCCATTTGATAGTGAGAAGAAGGGCAAACCGTTGTACTTCTCCAACGGGTCTTTGAAAAAAAGGAGGGGTTCCCTAATCTTAAGGAAATTCATCCAACGTTCATATGGACGTTGGACCATATGAACGTCGGATATAATTTTTAGATAATTATAATAAAAACGGTTTCCTCAATTGTAGGCTATGACACGTAAGGCCTCATAGCTATACATGTCAACATCTCCCATGGCTATGACGGCCAAGCATAATAAGTCATATGTATACTCTCACTTTTGAGTATGACCTTTAAGAAAATATCTTGTCATTAGGTTTTTCTCAAGCTTTCGCGGATGTGTCTCTCATAACAAATATCTATCATGAGGATTTTGGCGCCAATGCAAATTTGTCACTCATGAAAATTGACCAACTTAAACATATTTAAGGTCTAATTAAGCTAATGTGCTTAGACAGTAGTTCAACACTCAGACTCTTTGTTAATAGATTAGCGATCATATCTGATGAGGGCAAGTAACTAACAGTTACTTCACCTTTCTCAACTACATCATGAATGTAGTAATATTGGATATCTATATATCTTCCTTTGGTGTTATTTACTCCACTTTGAATTAATTTAATTGCGGTTTGATTATATTTGGTTCGGTCAGTCATATTTACAGCTTCAAGTCATATATGAAGTGCTTTATCAAGATGACAAAAGTACAAGCAGTGCTACATACAATGTATTCTGCTTCTTGTGTCTACCTAAGTACACATCTTTGTTTCCTGCTAGACCAAAAAACAATTGTTCCTCCAACGAGAAATATATGTCCTAAGGTGGACTTACTATCGTCCTTATCCCCAACAAAATCTACATCTGAATATCCTATAACTTCAAGTTTATCAACTTGAAAACACAATTTTAGATGCTTTGTTCTCTTAATATACCTTATAATTCTTTTTCCTAAGGTACACACCTTTGTTTCCTGCTAGACCAAGAAACAACTGTTCCTCCAAAGAGAAATATATGTCCTAAGGTGGACTTACTATCGTCCTTATCCCCAACAAAATCTACATCTGAATATCCTATAACTTCAAGTTTATCTACTTGAAAACACAATTTTAGATGCTTTGTTCTCTTATAATTCTTTTTCTTGTTTTTCAATGAGCTATGCCTGAATTACTTTGATATCTACTAACAAGTCTTAAGGCATAACTCAAATCTGGTCTTGTACATCTTGCTACATATACTAAGCTACCAATAGCTTGTGCATAGGGAACGTTACGTTTTTCTTGTCCTTCTATTGGACAATTCATCCTAGACAACTTTACTGCCTTTTTAACAGGAGTAGAAAATGGTTTACAATTTTCCATTTGAAATCTTTTGAGGACAGAGTCAAGATATCTCTCTTAGCTCAAGCACAACATTTTTTATTTTTTATTTTTAGTTATTTTTACACCTAGGACGTAAGATGCTTCTCCCATATCTTTTATCTCAAACAAAAAAGAAAGTCATGACTTAGTCTTATCAATTATTTCTAAGTCATTTCCAGTTAATGTATTGTAAATTTACTGCCACTCTTCAAGACATACACACAATGATCCAATCTATTTACTTCATATCCTATCTGTAGGATGACATAATGAAATGGTAAGTATCACTGTCTTGAAGATTCTTTTAAACCATATAAAGACTAATTTAATTTGTATAATTTATTTTCTTGATCTTTAACTATGAAGCCCTCAAGTTGCTTCATGTAGATGCTTTCCTTTAGTTAACCATTCAAGAATGCAGTCTTTATATCCATTTGGTAAAGTTCTAAGTCATAGTATGCAACGTTTGCCAAAATTATTCTAATGGAGCAACTGGGGAATAAATGTCGATATAGTTGACTCCATTTCTTTAGGTAAAACCCTTTGCTACTGACCTAGCTTTAAATTTATCAACTGATCCATCAGATTTTAACTTCTTTTTAAGCACCCATTTAGAACCTATAAATTTCCTATTTGATGGCAAATCACATATATCCCAAACTTTATTTTCCTCTATAGAATCTAATTCTTCTCTCATGTCATTAAGTTATTCTTGAGATTCTTGTGACTTCATAGTATCATTGAAGTTAAAAGGGTCATGGATTTCATCTAGGTCAATAAAGTTGTCGATATCTTCATTCATATCGACATAGAAATCATCAATGTATGATGGAGGAACTGTAGATCTCTTTTGGCCACTTAACATTGGCTGTGTGGGTACTTCAACATTATCATGTTGATCATGACTATCCATATCTACTGTAGGTAGTGGATTTAAGTGATCTATAATATTAAGTAGATTATCATTATCCACTACAGGTAGATTTTTTTCAATAAAATATTATAGGAACTCAACATCTTTGTTTTCAATGAAGCCCTTATCTTTATGATAAAATTGATATCCCTTTAAACCTTCGGGGTAACCTATAAAATTACAAATTAAAGTTTTGTTTTCTAACTTATTTTTATGTTGATATGGGATTAGGACATGGGCAGTCTATCCCCACTTTTTAAAGTTAGATAGATCAGGTTTTCTACCTGTTCAAAGTTCATGAGGGGTAGAATCTATTGCCTTAGTTGAAACCATCTTAAGAATATATATCAAAGTGCTTATTGCTTATCCCCAAAAAGTTTTAGGTAGATTAGCATGAGCCATCATGGATTTAGTCATTTCTAAGAGGGTTCTATTACGTCTTTTAGCTATTCCATTTTGCTGTGGCGTCTAAGGCATAGTGGTATAACTTTTAATACCATATTCTTGACATTTAAGTATTGAGAGCTTCAGATGTGCATTCACCTCCCATATCAGTTCTAAGAACTTTGATATTCCTACCCAATTGGTTTTCTACTTCTTTTTTATATATTTTAAATTTTGCTAAAACTTTTAATTTATGGTGGATTAGATATAAACATATCAAAATCTAGAAAAATCATAAATAAAGGTGATGAAGTATGACGTCTTTCTATGAGTTTTAACATTGAGGGACCCACAAATGTCTGAGTGGACCCCATTCAATAACTCATTAGCTCTTTCCCCTTTATTGAATGATTTCCTAATCATTTTTCCAGACAAGCAGTGCTGACCGATTGAAAATTTGACGTTATTTAGATTTGGAGTAAGACATTTCTTTATTAATCTATTTATTTGTCTTTTCTTATGTGGCCAAGCCTAAGATACCAAGTATATGTATCAACAACCATTACACAATCAACATAACCAGAATAAATTGAAATTTTATTATCAGCTTTCTTATTTACATGAAGAAAGACCAAGTTGTGGTCACTAACTAAGTGTCCCCAAGCATAAATTTGTCTACGCTGTTCGATTGATACTTTTAATGATTAGAAGTGGATTTCAAAACCCTTTCTAATGAACAGGGGGACATATACAATATTTCGTCTCATACAAGGGACAAAATATACATCAGTTAATACGAGGTCGATTGTCCCTACATACAACCTATAAGTTCCTACACCTAATACATTAGAATAGGTGTTGTTCCCAATATAGATGCGTTTCTCCCCAGCTTTTATTTCTTTGAAATCCTTGAAGAGGTCTTTTGAGGTTGCAATATGTCGATTAGTGCCTGAGTGTACCCACTATCATTTGATGTCGTGGTCTGCCATCAGGCACTCAAAAACCACACAAACAACTTCATGCAGGTTGCTTCTATTTTCGTTATTCTTTGGATTTTGCGGGTTTCTATTATGTGGGCAGCGGTTCTTGAAGTGACCTGGCTGACCACATAAGAAGCATTTTGGTGGTCCTAGTTTAAATTCCTAGTTGTAGGGCTTAGTTCCTCTATTTTTGAACGTATTGTTCCTCTTATTATGCTTCCCTTAAAATTTAGGCTTGGGTTTGCTAGTTTTGGAAGGTCCTTAAGCAAGCATGAGCTCATTATCTATGTGCATATGTTCTTGTTCTTAGGCTAGTTGTATAGGTAGGTTCCTTAATATAGGAGATTTGGTATTCAACATAAGTGTAATTGTTACAATCCTCCATGAAGGTGGAAGGCTATTTAAGAATGTGAAAACTTACATGTGCTCAGGGACTTCATTCCCAACAATGACTAAATCCTTAGTCATAACAAGCATTTTATTCACATGTTCTACTACATTATTATCCTCTTTCATTTTGAATGAGTTATATTACTTTAATAGCAATTGGATGTATGTTTCAGGGGTTGAGTCATATTTTAGTTTTGATTGCCTCCAGCATTTTCTTTGATGTTTCATGATGCTCGAAAATCTTACTAAGGCCATCTTGTATAAAAGTTAATGTGGAAGTTTTTGCTATAAGGTCATCTTCTAAAAATTTTTCAAACTTGTCCCTAGACTGTGTGCTGCTGCATGAAACCATCTACATATCGAAATTGTGAACTTTTGGATTTGGGGTCATGGTTTTAATTGATTTAAGAAGGCTTCAGTGATGGTTCAATTTTAGTAGAGTATAAAAGTCTACAATAATCATTAAATTTGTGTAAAATAAGCATTACACCCGTGCATAGGAAGCTTTTATCAAACCAAACTGACATTTAATACAAGACAAGCAGAAAACACTGGCCATGAGCACCAAGCAGTCAAAGCAAAATAACATTTACTACAAGATAAGCAAAAAACACGGGCCATGAGCACCAAGCACGCAGCATGCTGTCAACTGAGGGAATCATAGTAACATCACTTGCACTCAATTATTCTAATGCATTTTTAGGTGTGATCGCTCACCCTTTCCATTTTCACTTGCAAAACCGCAGCAACATAACTATGATTTTATCCATGCAACAGAAATGATCAGCAGAAGGAATGGTGCCTCCAAATCCTACTCCGAATCACAATCCAATGCTCATATCAAGCCATGGGATTTCAAATCTCTTCATACTCCTTTTAATACGATCAACAAAAGGAGGAGGTTCATGTTTACCCTTGGAGCCTGGGATGGGTGGAGGTAGACATAAGTGTGGGTTCATGGAGCATGTGGATGCGTCAAATGTTTTCATTTGGTTTCCTGTGGGGATTTGTCTGGACAAATTGTTGTTCGATGAGGTTAGAACACTTAAAGAGGTCATGGATGAAATGCTTAGAGCGATTGGTCCAGAGAGTTGATTGTTTGAAATGGTTTCTCGACAAATTCAGGATGACCATTCCCATAAAGCTTGTTAATTCTTCAGGAATTTCTCCCACTAAATGGTTGCTTGAAAGATCTAAGCTTTGTACCAAGTTTAAATTCGTGTCATATTCAAGTATTTTCCCTTCTGCCACCACATCGATACTTTCCACTGTATCTTACAAGTATTTCTGGTACACTACCAAGCTGGATTTGTGATATCTCCTCTCACATTACCAAACTGTACCTTTCAAATAATTGAATACAAGGTCAATTTCAAAAAATCTGCAGACTTGGGCATGGGGCAATCATAGATCTAAGTTCAAACCTCTTTAATGGCCCCATACTCATTCTAGTTCCCGAGGTAAGAGATTTAGACCTCTCAAACAACCAGTTTTTTGGTCATATTCTTGCACTAAATGGACAAATCATGTTTAATTTGACATTATTTGACTCGTCCAATAATAATATTGCAGGAAACATCCCATCTTCAATGGGAAACATGGAAAAGGCTGTTTGTCCTTGATCTCTCGGGAAATGTCCTCTCCGGAAATATACCTCCAAGCTTAGGAAATTGTTCAAGCATGCAATTCTTAAATTTGAATGATAATGATTTATTTGGAAGCTTACCATGTTCATTGGTGGCTCTTGAAAATCTCAATTCGGTAGAGTTGTCAAATAACTGGTTCTCTGGAGAATTTCCTCAGGCCTTGAAAAACTGGTCTTCATTGTCAACTCTTGATCTTAGTGGAAATGAGTTCGCAGGAAACATTCCTTCATAGATTGGAGAAAGCCTATCAAATCTCCAATCTCTTAACCTAAAATCAAACAAATTCATTGGGAGAATACCTTCTGAATTGTCACATTTGAGTTCTCTTCAAATTTTGGATCTAGTGAAAATAGGTTACAAGGGCCAATACCTAAGTGTTTTGAAAATTTCACAACCATGAGGATTGACAATGGAACCGCTGGTTTTACAGGCTATGGACCTTCTTCAATGGCTATAGTGGAAAGTATCGATGTGGTCGCAAATGGGACCTTCTTCAATGGCTTAGATCTTTCAAACAACCATTTAATGGGCCTACTTCAATGGCTTAGATCTTTCAAACAACCATTTAATGGGAGAAATTCTTGAAGAATTAACAAACTTGATGGGATTGGTCTTCCTGAATTTGTCGAGAAACCATTTAAGTGGAGTCATTCCAGAGAAGACTGTGAAGTTGATACAATTACAGTCGTTAGACGACCTTTCAAACAATCAACTCTCCGGACTCATCCCTCCAAGCATTTCATCCATGACCTCTTTAAATGTTCCAAACTTATCGAACAACAATTTGTCTTGACAAATCCCCTTAGGAAACCAAATGGAAACATTTGACGCATCCATATAGTCCGAGAACCCATACTTATGTCTACCTCCGCCCACATGAACCTCCCCCCTCTGTTGATCGTATTGAAATAAGCAATAATAGATTTGAATTCCCATGGCTTGATATGAGCAATGGATTGGGATTTGGACTAGGATTTGGGGGAACCATTCTTCTGCTATTCATAAGAAGTCCTAGACTTATGCATGTTTCTGTTGCTTGGATAAAATCGTCATTATGTTGCTGCGGTTTTGCAAGTGAAAATGGAAAGTGTGAGCAACCACACCTACAAATGCACTAGAATAATTGAGTGCAAGTGATGTTACTATGATTCACTCAGTTGAAAGGTTGTTATATGCCTGGTGCTCATGGCCCGTGTTTTTTTGCTTGTCTTGTAGTAAATATTATTTCGCTTTGAGTGCCTAGTGCTCATGGGCCATTGTTTTCTGCTTGTCTTTTATTAAATGTTAGTTTGGTTTGTTGAAAGCTTCTTATGCATGCTTGTAATGCTTATTTTACACAAATTTAATGTATTATTGTAGCCTTTTATACTCTACTAAAATTGAAACATTATTGAAGTCTTCTAAAATCAATTAAAAATTTAAAACCATGACCCTAAATTCGAAACTTCACAATCTCGATATGTAGAGGGTTCATGCTGCAGCCAGCGGTCTAAGGAAATTTTTCCCAAAGAATATAATTCAAGCCGACTACATGAAAATTTTCTGAAAAATAAAATATGATATATCTTCCTTAAGTAATCAAATCACTTGAGGTAAAAAAAAAAAGGGGGAATGCAGACATGAATGGGCAATCGTACCACTCCAATCCGCACATTACAATATGTTTAATCATCATCAACCCTCTCTCTCTCATATGCATATGGAATATGTTCACTTGACGAACTTACTCAGAAAGACCATTCCAAGTCAAGTATCGAAAAGGGTTGTATGCACTGAATTTTCCAACCCTATAGGCGACTTGTCCTGTAATGTTAAATTCAAGAAAGGTGACAGGTGCTTAATTTTCCAACTCCTTACCGTACTCACAAAGTTGGTGACTTCACATGCATCTTTAAACTCTTTAACATGTCTGCTAATGTTTACTCTCTCTTACGCACGCCTCTCTCACCCCAATGGGACCTGCAAAAGTAAATACTACCTTTCCTTCCCAATTCCTTACCACTCCTCCATATCATGCTAATCCATGGTTCCCTAAAGAAATCCCATCAAAGTTCAGTTGAAAAACTCCCAACAAAAGTGGAATCCATGGTTCCCTAAAGAAATCCCATCAAAGTTCAGTTGAAAAACTCCCAACAAAAGTGGAACCCATGGGTGTACATTTGATAAATCCCATCTGGAATAAGTTTGGTAAATTCCTCCTCACATCTACTTCTGAAATATATCTTGCCCAAGTTTACTAATAGATAAATACATCCATATTGCGTGCAAAATCTTGTTCATTATCCTTTCATTGGCCAAACATATCCCATCAAAGAATATATTCAAATATATTCAAAAAAGAATATATCACAAATCTTCTTTCCCTTTCTCCTCTTTCTTCATGAGCATGTACATCCATCTCTATGCATCAACCCATTATTGAACATTGTCTTTGCCCCAAGGACAAGAAGCCCTAGAACTCAAAAACGTCGAACCACAAATTTATAGAATTTGGCTGCTCTAAATGTGAGAGAAGCATAGGAGTAACGAAAGATGCATCGATGGAGTTAGAGAGAGAGAGAGGTTTCATCGGTGAGACCTGAAATCTCTCTCCCTCTCTCCCATGATATATGTCTACAAATTACATGTAAAAAATAAAAATAATAATTTTAAGAAAATTAAATGACCAAATTACCCCTAACGTTTGTGGAGGTATTTTGGCCCCTTTATTTGAAATTAATTTATCTTATACACTTCAGTAGTATAGAGAAATAAGGTTTCACATTTTGTTTATATGATCTCCGCAAACTAATAAAACTGAAGAGTAAGTTCAATAGAACAATTGTGAGACCAGTTTTGCTTTATAGGACCGAATGTTGGGTGGTCAAGAAACAACATACCCAGAAGATGCGTATAGTTGAATTGAGGATGCTGAGATAGATATGTGGCAAGATATTAAAGGATAGAATTTGAAATGAAAAATATTTGAGAGAAAATAAAGTAAAGTGGGAGGGCCATGTACAATACAGATGCAATACGTTAGAAGGTACGAGTTTGTTCAAGTAGAATGCTAGGGTAAGGGTAGATCCCAAATGACGTGGTTGGATGTAGTCGAAAAGATATGGGAATTATGACCCTTTATAGAGTAGATTGAAGGGCCAGTATTCATCTAGCTAACTCTAGATAGTTGAGTAAAGACTTTGATGATGACGATGATGAATCTTTCACATTTTTCCAATCTAGATTAGGGATTGCCAATCTAAATTATCGGTGGGGAGTGACGTGGTTTCTAGGGGGAACAAGAATTGGTTTGATTGCCATAGGCTTGCCCAATCCCATCATAGAACTCGGTGATCCTGATCATCTAAATCACCCCTTAGCCACCCACTTTATTTTTTATTCTTCAAAATTGATTTTGTTGTTTAAATGTTTTTGGGACCAATTCTCACATCAAAGGATTGATCTCGGTTGCCGATCCAAACCGCCGGTTCATCGATTTAGACTGCATTTATGGGAGGCTAGTTTGCCCTATTGATCCAATTTTTTAAAATACTTGAGAAATATAGACGTATAAAATTTGAGGTTACATAAGAAAAAAAAATAGAAAACCATATACACTAGAAATTTAATAAGCCAATTCGTTTCTATTGTCCAACTTAAATAAGAGAATTCATCTCGAGAGGTGGATATTGTATATACACATCATAGCTAAACGACGTTTCCCTGCATTTATATTTCCAGCCATATGTTGTGCCATTTGCTTATGTATCTTTGCCATTTCCTTTGAGGTTTATAATAACTCTAGTATTTTAGGTGTTCCCATCCAAATTACTAGTGTGAAGAAAAAGTTGCGTGGTTTTTCCACTATTTTTTTTGTGAGGCTGGTCAAAAAATAGCAAGTGTGAATATCATTCATATTTGGAAGTTTATCAAACTGCCTACTAGAGATGAAATATTTAACATCTCTATCATTTGCAACTATAAAGTCATGTGTTTTTTAAAAGTACTTTAAAATTAAATAAAAAATAAGTATAAGAGTACTTTAAAAATAAATAAAAAATAAGTATAAAAGTACTTTAAAAATAAATAAAAAATAAGTAAAAATTGAACTATTAGTCTTTTATTAATAATTTGATAAATTTCTCTTTACATTATTTTCCACTCAAAAGAATCGGTGTTTTTGCTCTCTTTACCGTTCCCAAGAAGAACCCATACAAACCAACATTTATGTAAAAATGGTCATAACTTTTCTTATATAACTTTCTTATATAAGCTCTCACGATTGTGATTCTTATCCCATTGGAAAGATATAGAGTAGCATCCGCAGTACTGGTCAAGGTATACTATTTGACATGCTAAAATTCCATGGTAATTCATAATTATAAAAACAAGAGTAATTCAAGTAAATATTCATTTCTTAAGCGATATTTAAAAAATATACCCCAAAGTTCCTATTTACGGGAATATCCCTTTTCTTTTTTTATATTCCCAAAATACCCTTTTGCTAGGCACTCTAAGTATCGATCTTTATGTGTAACACATTTTAGAATACTCTGCCACAAACCTTTGGACAATAGATTGCCCTTTTTTTTTATTAGAATTACTTCAATGTCTTTTCTTTTTTTAAAGAAAAAGTTTATATAAAGATGCTTCCTATAATATAGAACTACGGATGTCCCTCAAAAATCCTTCTGAAAAGGTAGTTTTAATGTTGAAAATTCTTTTGATTGATCATCTCGACATCGAGATATATGACTATGAAAAATAAAAAGATTTTAAGTCTAAAAAATAGTGTATTTTACAACATATTATCTACACCGTCCATTTTCAAGACTTTCATATGTTTATAGATCTACTTGATTTTAAGTATTTTTAAAATTTAAAATTTTATAATTAGATATAAAAATAAATTTTAAAATAATCCTAAAATTATTTTACATCAAAATTATATACCATTATAAAATTTGAAGGTGTATCTTATCTCTACACCTATGGATGCATCGGTATGCAAACTGCACCCTTATTTTTTTTTATCAAATTAATAAAGGGCATATGAAAACTCACGGCTAATATTCCTCCCGCTTAGATATCTCTCTCATACAGGTGTTCCTGCAATTTGGAAAACGTCGTCTTCCTAAGTATCTCTCCGCATGGAAGAGAAAGGGGTAGCAATGGAAAATATTGAACTTGAAAGCCTAATTACTATTATTTCTATGATCATGTTTCACAGAGATTGAAGTTTTGTGTAAAATGATTTTTTTGTGAAGCAACGCTTTGGCTAAAGATCTGTGCAACTCTCTCATAAGTTGCTGTAAATGGGGTTTGAGAGAGAGAGCGCCTGCTTTGGCTAAAGATCTCTGCAACTCTCTTATAAGTTACTGTGAATGGGGCTTGAAAAAGAGAGGGCCCCAACCTTCCAATATGAGAAATAGAGCGCTGCAAAGCCCTGCTGTAAATGGGGTTAGAAAGAGATACAGGACTCCA